TGACGTAGATTCTTTGCCCGCATAGTACATTCTTTTGTGCTATGCTGATCCCAAATTGTTTGCTAAATCCTCAAAGTAGAATTAACCCGAAAATAAGCACAACATTCTGGAAACTGCACTTAATTTAAGGAGTCATATATATTATTGCAAACGTCCATACACTAGCTAGAACCAGTTCCCTACACAACATACTCCTATAACGATAGAAATTTAGTTGTGATGCAAATGAAACACAAATTTAAGATTGTTCTGAGTACGAGGTTTCGACAATAAACTATCTGCACTCAAGAATCATAAATTTGAACATAAATATGCTTGTGTGCAATGAGATTTTAAATATCAGATAGTATTTTATCCATGAAACATGTATAACAATTACAAGGGACTCGGGTACGCTCAGTTTATTGTCAAGCATGCATAAAACTTTGTTTTACAACGTGCCACATCGGTGCTCAAAAAGAAATGCATCAATTCCTTACATAAAACCTTTTTGTAGTGCTCATCCCCAATTGTTTTAAGGAGCTGAACACATTGTGTACTTTTCTGGGCAATTTGTTTTATAACGCCGTTCTACAAAATCTATCCAGAAAATTAGATTTTTAACTGGCCTTGCTAGAGTACAAACACTAAAACTGTGCAACATAATAAATACCACTAAATACTGCTTAATTATGCTAATTCTATTGTTTTGACTAACACTATTTTGTAGTAAATAGTGGAAAGTGTTGCACACATTTAATGTTTGTACTCTACAACTGTGTCTTTTTTCCGTAGAACTTTGCAATATTTTTTGGCCGAGATACGCTGTGAGCCAGAACCAAGATGGCTGACCGCCATGGGAAATTGCACATGTTCTCACAAAGAGTACTAATTTCATTGCAATGTACTGAATGTATACGCACAATATTTTGGAAGCTGTACATAATTGAATAGAGCATGAAATTGCAATAGTTCATCTATGAAATTTGTAATAAAACGGAAGGTCTAAAACGCATTGTCACATGAAACATATTGAGCACAAATTGCGCGAATKGAACATTTGGATCTTTGACTGAAGACTTTTGACTCTTGAGCAAAGACTAATTTCAACTTTTCAATAAAGTCAGTGAAGTGACGATAATCTGGCAACTACATTGTTAGTATTGTTCTTATCCAGCTAGTATAATCCCGGTTACATCACAAATCATGCAGAGCTTTTTAGCCACCGGCCTGTAAAATAGTCATAGAGCGGATTTCGTATGTGGGGGACACCGTTACCGTACGGTTACCGCACAGTTACCGTACCTGGCCTGCACAATTTTGGTGAACCAATGGGGTTGGGGGGGTGGGGGCACTAGAATTTGATTACAGTACGATTACAGTCACAGTACAGTACCGTCCGTTTCCCACTGATACGAAATCCGCTCTAGTGAACACAGTTACAAAGCAGACTTTAAGACTTTAGGCATTATATAAAGTAGCTTTAATTAAACCATGAACAACGTGATAAGTGTAAGTGCAGTAAGGCAATATCATAAAAGACCGTGAAAAATTAATGAGCGAAAGGATTGGGATATGATCATTACCAAGCTAATATACACTAGCAGAATTTAAGACTATGTAAAGGAATGGAATCACTCTTTATTTTTGAATTGTGAGTTTGAATAATAGAAAGTCTATTAAAAAATGACTGAGTATAATCCTCCTAAGAATAAACCCTTTTAGCGATCTCTTTTACGCTGTGTTAGCCTCAAAACCGTGTAATAAATTCTTTTATTCACAACCCGTGCAAATTCAAGAGATTCGTGAGTATAGAAGACGATGGAAATAGTTTGAAATTTCACGAGTTTTATTTAAATTTCTGAATATCTTGCACACAATTGAGGCTAATACAGCGTAAAAGAGATCGCGAAACTCAACTATAAGGATCAAAATGATTTTCTATGCATCATCTGGAATCTGGGATCAAAATTGTCGTCATTATTTTCGAGATCAAGGATAGAGATCACTGTGAATTCTATACAACCCGTCGCCACCCCGAGAAAAAATACTTATTGAGCAATATCAGCCCCAAGTTTGCACATACTGAAAAAATAAGAGAAAAATAATCATGCAAGCTAATTGTCTGCTAAAAACTGGCAATTATACCTTTATAAACTCATATTTACAATGGTCTGGTAATCTGTTGTTCCTATACCTATAAAAAGAAATAATGATCACCATACTAGCCAGCTATATTGAATAATTTTTTGAAAATATTGGATGTCAAATTTTCTCCTTTATGGATCTCTTTGACCTAAAGACCTAATAGGTTTAACGGCAAGTGCTTTTAAGGATTAAAATGAATTATTCAATTGAAACCCCTATACCCCCCCCCCCCCCCCCCCCCCCCCCTCTCTCTCTCTCTCTCTCTCTCTCTCTCTCTCTCTCTCTCTCTCTCTCTCTCTTGCTGGGGAGCCGGAGAATTAACACTGCTTTACAGCATCAATTAGTTTTTTCTTCAGTTTTGTTCATATTGTAGTTTTACATATACACTTCGGTGTCTATAAAATATTTTCAACATTAGCTATTTGTTTGTTGTTTTTGTTTTACCCCTTACACAGGAAAAGTCTGTTTTTCAATTTTATAATGATATTTACATTTTGAATCGCACATAATCATGATGAACAGCAAATCATTTACAATTGTTAACAACCACTTCAATGATGTAATCCCAATATATAGCTACATATATCCATGGTCTATTCATTCGCCACAAACAATGACACATATATTCCCAAGACCTATCAAAATATGATAGCTGTTTGTGCTATCTTAAAATGAAAATTACAAAACTAAAAATCACACTACAAAATAGATAATTATGCTCATTTTTAAGAACAGACGGGAGTTCTTGGGTCATGTATTTTAATTCCTTTAATCCATAAACAGACATTAGGACAAAAAGGCTATATTTTGACAACCCTTTTTTTAATTACCAATATCTCAAAATCCTTGAATGTGATTGGCTGAGAAATATGAAACATACTGGGTTGGGGTCAATTTGTCATGTGTTAAACGCGCAGGTTGATAAATCTAATGTTATAACAGCGACTTCTCGTTTAAATTAGTGGGCTTAACAAGTGTTTAAACTACTACAGTATTCTTTTTGGCTGAGCTAGCTCTTTTATTAATGGCTTTTTTCACTAAAGCAAGCGCCGAGAACGAACATATTACAGTATCAAATATTACAATTTGTCCTTTATGTGAAGAAGAATACGACGACCCGAAGCGTCTTCCATGTTTGCATGTGGTATGCCTTGGATGCTTGGAAAATGTTGTGCCCCTCAACTCTCTAATTCTACAATGCCCAATCGACAACCAAGAGCTTCCGATGCCCAAGGGTGGGGTGCATGCCTTACCATCGGATATGAAAATTGTTAGGCTTTTAGAACTGAGTTCTGGTGACCAGACAAAGAAAAAGACTAGAACGCCAAAGAAAAAACCAAAGGCACYCGAAGAGGAAGGAAGGAGAAAATCTGTAACGGGAACTGTGGCGATGTCCCTTGAAGAAGAAGCCGAAATGGTGAAAAAACTGATTAGCGAGACTGTGAACAAGATACGCGAGGCTTTGACGATGAAAGAAACCGAGATGTTGAAAGAAGTGGATCACGTTGTTAGTAAAGAGCTGCGAAAGAGGGCAAATACTGCATCATACTCATCGGTGTCGTCTGACCTCGAATCCGAAATGCCGGACTCTCCGACTTCTGATGGAGATTCTGTTTTTGAAGAGCTAAATGGTTCTAAAGATTCCTCAAAAGGTAAATCTAAACCACCAGTGCCACCCAAGCGACCACCGTCTTTTATACTTGATTTGACTCCAAGTCGTAAGATGCTACAAATGGCGCGCGAAGAGGGGTTAGGAAAGCTTCAATTCGGACGCAAAAAGACGGTCGCCAATGCAGACCAATCGACCCCGGCACCCATAGCATCGTCGTCACCGACGTACGGCGGGGCTGCTGAAGTGATTGGCTGCATTAATCTACCTAACCGCTATAAAAGGACATTCAACCCTACGGCTGTGGCCGCCAGCCACGATGGACACGTAGCAATATCTGACTATGGTAGCGAATGTGTGTTGCTTTTTGACACTGATGGGGAGTTTGTTAAAAAGATTGGAGATGGTGATTGCAACGAAGGTGGCCTAGAAGGACCGGACGGGCTAGCTTATCTACCTAATAACAATCTTGTAGTTTCCGATAGTCCTCTGGATGGTGTCCAGGCTCTCAAAGTGTACGACTGTGATGGAAACTACTTGAATACACTTGTCGAACAGGAAGAAGTGGAAACAAACGAGGGGATGATTTCTTTCGGCCGCGTTACCTCTGACCCTAGTGGCAGGCTCATCCTTGCTTGCTCGGGAGAAAACCCATGCGTCCGGGTCTATGACAGCGATGGCAAACTGCAGTTAGAGTTTGGTGATGGCATCCTACACGGCCCTCAGAAAGCAGTCTTTCACGATGGTAAATTCTTTGTGTCAGACTCAAACATCGAACTTCACAAGTGCAACATCAAAATGTTCGACAAGAAGGGCAAGTTTGTTTTCATGTTTGATGATAATAAGCTAAATGTTGGTGAACAAGATAATATGGGTCTAGATGTCACATATCCTATTCATATTGCCTCGGATAGGGGTACTATCATAGCTTACCATGGTCTGACCAAGTCAATCAGACTCTATAGGTCTGATGGCACATTTGTGATCACCTTCAGGACAGTTACAGGCATCCGGGACATTGCAATTAACGATGAGGGTCATATCGTTGCCTCGTGCGGCGAGGAGAGCATGCTACCAAGAAGTGTGCAAATATTAAGATACTGATGGACCATTATATCAAGACTTGGCTTTGATGTAACCGGGAATATAAGTAAAATGTGCGGCGAGAACTGCCCCAAGACAAGTGCAAACGTTGGATTTGATATCTACTAAAATGACCTTTTTTGTTGCTGTGCTCTGTAATTTGGATACTTTAAACCCGTGAAACAAAAGAAAATACTTTAGGTCTATGATAGTATAAAAGACACAGAATCAGCAATGACAGCAATGCAATTAGAGCGCACATACTAAGCGTGTTAGTGAACGAGTTAGTGAAGTGTCTGTATTTTACGGGTTTTTTGACTTCACTCCATTTTTAAACATTTTTTAAAATGTTTAAAAATGGAGTGAAAAAAACACGAATCTCCGCTATCAATTAAGTCAGAGTAATTATAAAATATCAAATATTGCCCTAAAGAACAAACTGAATGAATAAATRCTAMTATACAAGTTCGGCAGAAGTTGTTWTGCAGTGTGTCAAGTTTATTTTCTTCATATATAGAAATCAGTTTATAAAAACAAAATCAAGAAGTAAAAACTGAAAAAAATTCATCAGAAGACACTGAAAATAAATCTAAATTTAAAAAAATGAATACTTAATAACTCTGAAGATTAATAAAACACCACTTATTGCATATTTTTGGCTCGATTATCATTTTACAAAAAGTAACCTTACCCTAGCCCCGGTAGGGAACAAAATGAAGAGGCCTGGTCTCTCAGCTCTTTGTCTGGGAGACATGAAAGAGCCTTCAGATAAGGCTCGTAGCGTTAGCATCATAAACTCGGATTCCAAGGAAATACCCTTTGCTAGAGTGAACATATTTGTKATTGYGCTGTCCAAGATGGTCCATATGATTGCATTAGGTTTGCCGGTAGTGATAATATGGCTGGCACAACCTGGAGCAAGTAAGTCTAAGCTTTCGAACATAAACAAACTCAACCAGATCGTTTATAGAACAGTACACGTGCATGAATGATTCGATTGATATTTGATTTGCTGTTCCTTGATACCTTTTTTTAAACCGTCATGTTTAACAAAGAAAAAGGTGCTTCCATTTTTGTGCACACGTAAGACAAGTACAATGCAAAATTACAACTCTTTATTATCATGGTTTTATATGGTGAATTACTACAGATGAAGTACATCTTTAAGTATCTGTTTTATTTACAAGTTGATTTTAACAGGTCTGTTTCCATGGCACCCAACATTAATGGCAATTGGAGTAAGTTGACCATCTGTATAAATGTTATCAAAATTTTTATTTGTTGAACAATCTGTTCAAGTTTATATGTTTAATTTTTATCACTTTCCAGTTTGGGTTCTTGATGACTGAGGCTATAATGCTGTTCTCCCCACAAAGTTCAATACTTCCCAATATGCCGCGTGCAACAAAAGCAACAGTTCACTGGATGCTCCAGCTTGCTGCAATCTTCTTCACCTCAGCTGGTTTTACGGTGATCTTTTACAACAAACACCTCCGCAAAAAGAACCATTTTACCAGYTGGCATGGTTTCTTTGGGTTATGGACAATGCTCTTTGTGTTATGCCAAGCATTTCAAGGCCTGACTATATATTATCCTGGTATTGCTTTATTTAAAGCAAAACTGGGCCAACGTAAACAGCTCCATGCATTTTTTGGCACCCTTGTGTTCATGTTAGCAACAACAACGCTTGTGCTTGGTTTCTTTTCTAACTGGTTTGTTAAGAATTCAAATGACGTCATTTGGTGGGGGAGTATTTTTTCGACCCTTTCAATAGCAGGGGTTATTTTAGGCCAGGTATCTAATGAGTATGCAAAGCGAAATAAACCATCAAAATAAGACTTTGTAAGTTCATCAATTATTACAACATTAAGTTGTGTGCACTCTTCTGTTTTTAATTACATTCCTTTGTCTGACAACTTGCCTCATATTTTAACAATACATGGATATCAGAAGAACAGATGCATGGCAACTTTTAAGTTAAGCTTAAAAGCTGGAAGTGAATTGAAAACAATAGAAAACAAAGAAATGGAAACAAGGCCTAGTGGCCATACAGGAGTTAAGATGGCAAATATCTAGGGATTCCATTCACCTGAATTCAAGAAAAATTGCTTTTCTATAGAAAAAGGAACATTTTCTTGCTTCTTGTTAAATTCAAGAAGAGTATTTTAGTCTTTTTCTAAGCTACTTCCAGTTTATATGTTAGCATGTATACAATCATGGTTGTGAAAAAGCCCTAGCTACCTGTAAATGTTAGATATATCAAAGCTAAGAATTTTACCATTTTCATCAAAGGTAGGAATTTGTATTGAATTTTATTATCAGTCAGATTATATTAAAATTAGCCAACCTACAGTTTATATTTACACGTAGATGACTATAACAACTTCACACATATCAGGATTGTGTATTGTTGGACCTTAAATTTTCATGTTTACTAGTTTCTAGTTTATTGTAGGGAGAAAAAGGCTTATCATATAATTATCTATGAAATACCTATATTTCTCCATTACGTAAAATTGATAGTGAAAATAACACATTCGAGGTTTCTCTATATAGTGGAAGAAAGAAAAAAKATAWTTTAAGACATAACTTGCTTTCATATTTAATTATATGATAAACAGAATATTACATGGTCGCTTGGAGATACAAATTTTATCTTCTCGTRTTGAAGATCTTTTCAACACTCGAAGATAAAATCCGTATCTCCGCGCGCCCATGTAATATCCTCTATATCCTAACACTTTGAAGAGCAACATTTAGATCTTGCTGGATGTTATGTATTATTACTAGTACAGCTAGTATTTTTGTAGAGYGGATTTCGTATGAGTGGGACACCGTTACCGCACAGTTACCGCACCTGGCCTGCAGAATTTTKGTGAAMCAATGGGGCACTAGAATTTGGTTACAGTACGATTACRGACACAGTACAATACCGTCCGTTTCCCACTCATACGAAATCCCCTCTATAGTAAAATACTCACTACAATATTTATTTATAGAGAAAATATAGGAAAATGTAATGACATTGAATTGATATTTTAGCTGTTATTATCATCATTTTGTCTCCATCACATCTATTTTCAGTGCTGGCTTCAGGATCTGGACAAGGAAATCCTGGGAGGGGGGCTCAACACTCATAATAAAACTATGAAGGAGACTATATCTTYTTTTGTTCTATATAATATAATAAAAGCTATTCAATATTGAAATTTGCACACTTTTTATTTAGATATTATTTGATAAAACCATTCACATCCTTTATATTTCTTTCACTCTAGTGGTGTATTGAGCCTACACTATGCTTATAATAACCTCTGGTACTAATAGATTTTTCATTAGTAGGGCAGAAGTAATTTAGCTTTAAATTYAATCTCTTCCAAATCCATTGTGTTCATCTTGTATATTTACAGTACTCAATAGTCTTGTGGTGTTGGCAAATGAATTGCTAATCCTGACGCAACCAATGGCTCATTGTGAGAGAAGATTTCAGGGTCAGAGTGAGAAGCATTTTGAGAAAGTTTGCCTCTCATTAACTGGCCCTTCCTGGAAGCACCTTGTCTAACAGTCCGCTCAGAGACTACCAGCCCACTRATGTTCAATGTTAAACTTTCAAGTGAAGAACTTCTTTGATTCAGAGGCAAAGAACTTCTTCTTTCAGCTTTTTTGGGAGTGATTTTATGTCSTTTCTTTGTGTCACTGCTATGGACAACACTACGACTGCCACGCTCTACTCTGGATGGTGAAATGGGTGGCTTGTGCTGAGATTGAAGGTTAAACAAAATATGCTCATGATTTGGTTGGCTATTATGGTTTAAATTGTTGTTGGTAGGAGTACTTTCCATTTTATTTGCAGACACATGTTCCCCTCTTGAAATACCACTATTATCTCTTCTTGAATCAGATAAAATTGCCAAACCACTAAGAGAGAATGTGCTAGGAAGGCTGTTTTTATCAAATTCTTGATTTTTTTGTGGTCCCTCYCTCCGTTGAACTAGAAGCCTTTGTCTTTGTGTAAGCACTTTATTGCTTTTATCACGACCAATCAGAGGTGGAGTAACATTGGACGAAGACCACTCATTGGCTATTATGCTGGCAATAGATGCACCATCAACAGGACATGTAGAATGATTTGACAGCCAGTTGTCAATGCAATCTCTATGAAAAACATGCTGGCAGCGCAGTTTACGAACRCATTGGAAAGGTTGATAGCTATGGAGGCAAATACCACAGTTTTTACTCTGTGAGAGCAATGGATGGTGTTCTCTTACGATTTCGATTGGCATGCTACTTAACACATGACCAGCCACACCCTCATGTTCGTCAAGAGGCCGGTCTAACTGAAGYAACATCTCATAATCCTCTTCTGTGATGTCTCTATTTTGTAAATGATCAATAACAGCACTTGGTAATGGTGCTATTCTTGATGCYGGCCTCCAGCGTTGGCTTGAGTTCTGCCTGAATTGGAAGGAATGYTGCATATGGTGATCTGTGGCAAAGCACTGATGACATAAATGATAGTCCATGCATATAACACAGCGATAACAYTTGCCAGCGATTGGGCAAACCCTACACTTATGACACATTGCCCCAAGGTGAAGATCCTGTCTTTCYGCTCTAGTTTTCTTTTTTGAAGATTTATTGAACTCATCTACCAGATCTTGAAATGTACCAAAGTCAACTCTACATAGAGGACACTTCATGATTTTTYCCCCCGTAGACCTCTGGTGCTCCGCCCAAACTTTCATACACTTCAAATGGATGCTATTTCCACATCCGTATTTACAATAAGTTAAAGGCTCCCCTGATTTAGTTAAGAGGTCATCTTGACAAATAGGGCAAACGTCTTCCTCTTCAATATCCTTCTGCTTGAGTTTCTCTCTATTATCTGAGGAAATAGTCTGGTTTTGAGTGCTTTGTTGTTGGTGTCTAACAAATGCACCTCTAATAACCTCATTGATCTCTCTTTCAACCAAAGACAACTGATAAACAACTGAATTTTCTTTTGGTACTCGAAATTTCTTGAGTAAAACCCATAATATGTGAATGCAGAGTTCTTTTTCTCTCATGAACGCACCACAAGTGCAGGAATGAAGGTCCCCAAGAAATACCTAAAAATGCAGAATTAATTTAGATATAAGTCTAAGTTATTTAAATTATAATCATCAATTTGAATATCATCCTAGTACACTTTACTTAATAAAATCACCCAAAGAAAGAGAGAGAGGAGATTCCTTTTAACTGTAACATTTGAAGCTACTTCAACTTGTTGGATGAATTCGTGTGTACAAAATTCATGTATAAAAAAATGACATAGGCGTATAGTTTAAAATGGAAATTTCTGACTAAAAGCATGTTTGAAATTCTGCCCAATGAAAGCTATTACAACAACACAAAATGTCTAAACAGATCTTACTTTAAACTTCTTCTCGACGCCATCTTCTTTCAGCAAAAATCCTGTCGGTCCAGTTTCTCGAAGTAGATAAATTCTCGCTTGATTTGCTTCTTCGATCCGTCTTGTAACTACATCAGGGCAGTTCCGTCTCCAAGGAACTTGTCTTGACATTTTAAAGTTCGACAAATTGAGTGAAAAAGCAAGAAAACAACGACTAATCTCTCATTTGTCCTGTCATGCTAATTTGTTGTTTCGTCTTCTTGGCAACGGTAAAACACAGGAAGCCCAAAATCACAAAATACACAGGAAGCCCACAGTAACTTATTTAGTTAAATAAATAATGAATAAATAAATAAAATTCATTAATCTAAAATCCCAAGTTAATTATTACAAACTGGTTATTACCCCAGTTCAACAAACACAAAAGTTTCCCCTGAAAATGTTTACAACAGATTTATGTAGTTGGCAATGCCATACCATGCCATACCTGCATTGAAAAGCAACCAAGACATGACGATGGATGGATACTTTTCGTTTCTATTGTAGTAAAATTCTCTAATCTCAGGCGAAAAACGTGGGACCTTTACTTGTAGAGAAAAAGAAATAAACGGAAATTTAAAAAAACGGGATGCTTCTTTTGAATGAAAACATCCATGCAGGCTTTGTTTTCTTGTGCACGTTTGCGCTGAATGACTCAAGTCAAGGCCACAAAGATGCCCCGAGTTGCCACCCGAGTTTGAAGCAGTAAAAATTGGACAAAATCGTGAAAGAAGTGCATACAAGCTCATAAACGAAAAGTGTCTCTTTGCACTGAATAGACTGCGGAATGGCTGAAGTTCTACTGACCTTTAGAACTTTCCATAAAGAGAGAATAGCGCGGGTAAGCTTCTGAACTCTCGTCATGGTTGCCGACTTTCATTCAAGGTGTTATACTTCTGCACTGTTGCCCTTGAGTATGGATACTGTCGAAGAATTGCTCAAAGAATGCAAAAATTAGAAAAGCACAATACGTTTTCTGAAAAKTAGCCACACCAATCTTTGGGAACTTTCAGCTTTATAACGGCTGCTTTCAGTGACTTTTTCCCGCGCAATAAAATCACTGATGGAAGCCGCCATTAAAGGGGAATTWTCCCGTGCATCTCCATGGCTACAGCCAATCATGAGTTCCTATAAAATATATCGTTTTCTATCCAACCAATCAAACTGCAAGAATTTACTTTGATAGACAGGTGGATAAAAACTAATGTGCCCTCACGACCCTCACAGCGGCGTACCAAAATGGGTTGTTTAAAAAGATGTTTAAAATCAATTTTGTGGGGTTTAATTGTTAAATCGCCTCTAAAGAACATCGAACATGGTACCCAATAGTTAGCCCTCAAAAAAGGCATTCAGTGAGAACAATAAGTACCACCACATTGTTCATCATTGCCAACTTTACGTACATAATTCAAAATCTTAACTAGGAGTATATTGAAAATGATGTATGTATATCTGTTGTGAATCTTTCCATAGATTTTTATTGGAAATCACACTTAGATTTATGTTTAAGCTACACTTTTCTGCTATAAATGTCATGTTRTGAATCGCATTTTAGGCAAACTCAAGCTCTTTTAAAAGTACATCCACTATAAAGTTCATTTGTTATCAAGTTATTGATCATTGAGTTATTGGAAATCTTTTCAGTATCCATATTCAACAATTCCTATTATTGATTCTTTCACAAGCTTAAATAACTTCAAGAAGCTCAGATATCCAATTTTTACACTAGCAGTACAAAATCCTGAGTCCAATCAAATGTCATAATTATAACAGAAAGATTARTTGCAAGAATACATATCATTTAAAAATCAAGAATTTGGAAATATCCTCTTATATGTGTGCATATTTTACCAAACAATAAACTACTCCGATAAAAGTACATAATATGGAGAGTTAGGAGAACACCCAACAGATGAGGGACCAAACACCCCTTCATTTGTAGTTGGAAGACCCTGTAAAAAACATTTCCTTGACAGTTTATGGCACCATTTTGAAAGGTGGTAGCAACTCTGTATTTATAAAAGATGAACCTTGTGCTTGCTATGTTGAATACCTTTTAACACAAAGGACAATATTATTTGCACACACAAATCAGCTTCCTTCATTTTCAAAGAGGTATCCTTATCTTCCCGATGATTGGGTGTCGCACAAGGTTCAGAAAGCACTTCAATAAAAAGCTTGACTATTTCGACAGCTTATACATATACAAAGGTGGAACTCTAAACTTAGAAAGGTCTGATAGCAGATAATCACTTTCCAGATAAAGTGCAGTAGARTGCATCTTCAATAATCATCTCCACGACTGAGAACTTCTTTGACAGTTGGTCTTAGGAGTATGGTGTGTTCATACTGAGCTGTATAGCACCCCTTGATATCRCATAATGGTGGATATGGGTCAACAATACCAGAATCACACAGGTTCTTCAGTGCAAGTAAGTACTTCGTCTAAAAAAAGTTGTTTAAAAAATACAAAATTCAGATATTTGCACTTCCTTCACATCCATGTCATGAAATTATATCATACCTGTCCCAGACGGTCAAGCCATCTTCTACAAAAAGCTAATGTTCCAAARTTTTCATTAATGACATTCAAAAGCTGTTTAGCTCTYGGTACCCTGCAAATGGAGAGACAAAACAATCATTAAACGAAATCCTCAAGTGTCAAGTATGTACTGGGTTTTTGTTATTCACATTGACATACCTTAAGGGGATATGTCCAGCTTCAAAGTTCTTCATATAATGAGAGCACTCCATATCATCATGTACTACACCTTTACCAGTACTTCCAAAGGTTTCAATGGCATAGAATTCATTCTCCTGTCATAAAAAAAACAGTACATTACAATAAGTAGTCTCCTCGCAGCCGTGTTTACTTTCGGTCACGCGTCACGCAACGCGTCACAGAGGTTGCGTGACGCGTGACCGAAACTAAACACGGCTGCGAGGAGACTATACAATTAGTGGCCAATTATTAAAATGGTTTTGGTCACATGACTTAAATYTCTGGAAGCTGTTGTGGCTTCCACTAACAATCATTACAATGATACTTTATTGCAACATGGAATTGCCCTTAATATATCTAAATATATTTGTATAATTTATATTTATAATTGTACTTAGTCACATTTTTAGCTTAGATTGYGATATTGTAATATGCCTTAATTCAGCCCTTTGGCTGCAAAAAATATCTTAAAACTATCTAGTATCTACAGAAACCTATAAGGGACTTGAAATGTGTAACGTCCATACATTTCTTTAGTACCAAGCATCGGAATATTCAAAGCTCATTAAAAATTCGAAAACAAACGTTATGACCATATTTGGAAAATTTGACTGTTGGATAAGAGATTCAAGACCCATTCTGGTTGGCTAGGGTAAATTTAATTGTTCCAAATAAGGAAATGAGATGCAGATTTGAATATTCCAACGGTTGGCACAGCATTACACGTTTCAAGTCCCTTACAGGTTTCTGGTATCTATCTATCTGATCGTGGCCAGAAGAATTTGAAAATCACATGCAAAAACATAATCTGTCATCCTTTTTCGATTCATCATAAGGACCGAAATGCACTCATATGATAAAGTATTCATACCTCCATCTTTGTGGCTTCACCTCCCTTGACTATTGGYACTGTCTTTCCAGCATGTATGCGATATGGACCAATAGAATGGCCATTAAGGTTTCTTATGGGCTTAACTAAAATTATATTGATTAAACATAAAATATAATATAGTTTGTTCATAACCCTGAGTCAAATGTAAAATTCTTACCTCTAAATGTCTTGCCATCAAGCTCAACTTCATATGACTCCATAACTTCTTGGATGGCTTCTCCAACATCACAAAGTCTCACGTCAATACCTGCTTCCTGATAACAAAGAACAACAATCAAACAAGTTTTTGAAAGAGCTATGTACTGTATCAACTAGTCTCCTTCGCAGCCTCCCCTTTTGGTCGGGCTTCCTGTCCCTCTCAAAAGAAGAGCCTGCTTACCCAAGCATAGGATTTTATTCCATGCTATTAGTCAATGACAAATCGACTCCCTGATTTGAAAGTTTTTTACACGTTTTTTAGAAACAATATGGCAGACACAGAACGAGMACTGATAGAAGTGAGCCAGATTTTCAAAATAACAGAGTTCAATAACCATCAAAAGACAGCTTTTAAAGCCATAATCAATGACAGGAAGCCCGACAAAAGAGGAGGTTGCAAAGAAGACTATATATTAACCTCTTACAATCATTTAGAAATTTTGATTTAATTTTTAAAGATTCTGTCCTGACATTGTAGAGAAAAAAACATGACAGTCTAGTGAAAGAAACTGGACGATTATTTCTAAATTTTTAAGAGAATTTACAAAAATAGCATTACCTTGATGCCAGTGTTTGTAGCATCTTTGACCGCAGCCAGCAGATTGTCATATCGAGGATTAAATGAAACTGTGAAAGCACAGTCTATAATACGCCCTGTAAGGAATAYAATGGAAACATTTCTGACTTAGTGATTAGAATCAACCAAAAGGTATTGATATTGATAAAAAAGAAGACAAAGTGTATTAATCTTACTGATTTATTCAATATATAGTCTTTTTCTAGTATCATATACAGTCAACTCTCGCTATTACAGACACCCTCGGGACCGTACAGTAATTTAGTGTTTGCAGTAGCGAGAGTCCCTAGTAACGAGAGTTACTTTCAGTCATTTCTTAGTTTTCTTTCGCTAAGGATTCAGTATTTTGCTGTCTGCAATATTGATGTGCCCGTTGTATCGGAGTGTCCGTAAGGCGAGAGTTGACTTTAATATATATCTTTCACGATACAATAATGAAGAATCATTGAATAACAAAAATAATCTTAATACATATATTTTTTCTCAGTAGCATTCAACTAGAATATCTAAAATAATGTATAGATTTAAATAACAAGAGATTGCATCTAAAGTTGACTATCCTTAGAGCGACTCTAGTAATAAAATTGAAGAAAATCCAGCGAGTACCCTAGTATTTGAGCACACTAAACTGAAAATAGAATGACACTGAGGTTTTCTTTACCATTAATATGTGTTCCAAAATCAATTTTACAGACATCGTCATAACTAAGCACAGTTTTGTCTCCAGCATTGGGWGTGTAGTGGGCTGCACAATGGTTTAATGAACAGCCTGTTGGGAAGGCAAGGCCTGCTGCAAGTTTGTTTTCATTTATCAATCTCCGGCTGGCTTCTTCCAGTTTTTCACTGATGAAAATAGGAAACATGATTTTAAGAGTACTGCTTTATTATTAATAACACAATTTCAAGTGATAAATTTTGTCTAAAGTGTATAATAGATGACTGCACTTTATGTATGGTGTCTCATTTCCTTTGTGTGTGACTATGCAAGTTGGCTATTGGGTGCAATTGCCCAATTTCATATTGTAGGAGACTGGGTACAAGTCCCTTAATTCGCACGATGGTTAGATTTAATTCGCACGATGGTTAGATAAGACTTATATAAATCGAAAGAGCATATTTGCGTCGATCAGGTCACGGTTTACAGCGTTTCTAAAACGCTAGAATTTCCAAAGAAATGTATAGAATGCCTGACATGTGTCCGGATTTTTCTCAATTCCCATACATTTCTTTGTAAAATCTAGAATTTTTGAAAACCTGGCAATCGGTTACATTTTATTTTATATAACACCAAACATTGTGAGTTTCTTAATTACAGTGCAATCTTTCATTTTATACAAGTCTTATCTCACCATCACGCAAAAGGGACTTGTACCCAGTCTCCCACGGTATGAAATCGGGCAGTGGTATGCTCTTCAGGGGAAAATATAACTTGTATAGTATACAAAATTTCTGTCCTTACCATATTTCTATCATTGTAAGACCAGGTTTAATAAATCCCTGGACATATTTCCTAACTTGTCTGTGGGCCTCAGCAGCTTGACGAACATCAGCAAGAATRTCRTCATGCATACGGTCAAGAGCTTTCTTCTCYTCGCTTGTCTCACGCCAYAAATTACTTTAAAAACAAYGTTAATGACAGAAWRGTGAGSATAAGTAATATTGTCAATTAAGTTTGACATTTTTGCTTTTTGTCTTCCTATGGAAAGAGCACTCCCCTCTCCCTCCCTCCCCCTTTTTGAGATTTTGTAGCACCACAGGAATTACAAAGTGAAAAAAGTGGAAGGATTTCTTACAAGGGGGTTAAGAAAGTATACTTACTCATCTTTGTAGCTCATTAATTCTCCTATAGGGTAATTATTATTGGGAAAGAGCTGTGATATTGGAACAGTTGGTGGATCAGTTTGCTGTGTAGCTGCTGGTTTGTTGGTCTCTCCTGCGTCAAACGTAAATAAAGCTCAACTTTCAATTTGGTCTGCATCGTATGAAAGCAGACAGACTGCAGTTCTTACCCTGTGAAGCTGAACCAGGCTTTTTCTTCTTCTTCTTTTTCTTTTTACTTGAAGTATTTGTGCTTCCTCCTTCGCCATTCTCCATTTCTTCATCTGAAATTATTATGTGGCAATCATTGTTATCATCAACAGTATTAATGGTACAATACACCTAGTCTATCCTAGTCTTTTTTTTCTTTAAAGGTTACATCTATATTCCTATATTATCTATATTATATTTTCAGCTATATTTTTATATTTTTATATTTTTATATTAAATGTATACAGGGTATTAAACCTAAGTAATATTTTTTCAAACATTTACAGTATATATTTTATCATATATAATTATATTTTCGTTTCGACTTCTTTTCTTTATGTTGTGTCCCCTACATGTAATTAGTAAGATGCTTGTCATCCAGCTAGATGGTTATTTGACACGTTAATAAAGTTTCTATTCTATTCTATTCTATTCTATTCAGTTGCTCTTAGGCCTCGACAACATGTTAGATATTCTTTTGAATTTGTAGGAATGTGAGCAATGCAAACATTGATGTGAATAGTCTCATTTGTCAAATTCAAAAGAATAATTAACTTGCTATCAAGGCCTAAGTGCATCTAAAAAGGTGAATTGTAAATAAACCTTATTTATATTAAATATGAAGTTCATTTAAATCTAAGGATTCAGGTATGTTGAAATCAAGAAATAACTATTAGAAACAAATATAAAAGCTGGTCAAAAATTCAAGTTTACCAGTCAAACCCTTTAAGTAAACATTTTTTGAGCTAGCCATAGCGCTACCCCATTCATTTCGTGCTAGTTTTTTCCTTCAATGGTTTGTTACTTCACAGTTATATCAATACCTTCATCAACAACAGAATTCACAGGTTTTTCAATGTTTTCTTTATCTTCATTTGTGACTTCACCATTGACTATAGCAGCATCATTGCCAGCGTCATCACAGTTTCCACCTTGAAAATTGTAGATTGTAGTCAAGATTACACTGAACAATATAGCCAATAAACAAACTTGATGCTACACATAAATCTATGTACACTTGAACGTTAATAACATACATATATAGGATATGACATGGGCGCGTGCAGATAAGGATTTTATCTTCGAGTGTTGAAAAGATTTCAACATGAGAAGATAAAATTCRTATCTCCAAGCGAACATGTAATATTCTATTTATCATATAATTGTATATGAAMKCATATTATGTCATAAAATACTTCCTCTAATATARAGAAACCTCGAATGTGTTATTTTCACTAGTTGAAATRACATGATATTTTCACWAGTGAAGATATCAAGTTTACGAWATGGAGAAATATAAGTATTTCATAGATAATTATATGATAAAATAGTATATTGAATATATGTGTAGAGGAAGTAATTTTGCCTAAGAAATTACCGTACGTAAGCTTAAGTAAGCTTAATCTTAAGTTAACTTATAAAGTACAGTCTGTAAATTAAGGTTATAAAGTTTTTTTATTGAGACTTCTAATGACAACACTCAAATCGCTCGCAGGCATGTTACAAAGTTCAATTACAATCTAATCTGTAATTTCTATAGTAAATGATGCATAATAAGATGGCATTTTTTACGGAGAATTAGTCAGAAATTAATATTACCAAGACCAACATGGCTCAAAAACTCTGCTAATTTAGAACTAAAGTTAAAAAAGGAAAAAWARGGATTTGGCTTTCATGGTTATACCTTTCTTCTTCTTTTTCTTCTTCTTCTTCTTTTTAGACGCTACAGTTTCACCATTTTCGGGTAAATCTTCGTTTTCTGCGACATCTTCTTCACGTGCTTCTGGAAGATCTTCTTCGACGGCCGCCATTTTGGAAGATAATTAGCACAGGAAGCCCGAAGGAGACTGGTACTACACAAGCAAGATGGCGGCGCTGTACACAAATGCTGCGARCATTTTGGATAAGATTTTAAAAAAGAAAGGAACTTTAAAATCTTTGGTGATTGAAAATGGATTTTCAAATAAGAAGAAACTGTATGCTTTGGTRTGCGAGACTTTGAAATGTAAGTAGTGCTCAACACATCAAAAAGATCTAAATTTGTTTACAAAATATTTTGCCATGTGCGATCTTTGATGGTTCAATTTCTTGTTTAGGAAGAGATAAGTTAATAAGAACGGCAAATAGGCAAAACTTAAAATCTCAATTCTCCGAATTTCTTGATTTTGAGAAATACAAGATTTTGAAATCAATAAAAAAATGAAATCTTAAATTGGGTTTCCTGTGGCAAGGTTAAAATTTTACGTGATTTGTAGGATTTTATAACATTAAGGTAATTTATTTTTATAGATCGGACAATCATTGAAGAAATTATGGAGATTTCTAACCTTAAAAAACATGAAAAACAGGTGAATATTGTTTTTTTTAGTTTGTGGGCTTCCTGTGCACAAAGTCATATTATGGATTGACTGTAATTGTGCAGTGGAGGAAGTCTATATGAAATCTCAAAACTTGATTATAATCTGTCAAGCTACTCTGGAAAATTTCAATATAATCTTGTAGACAAGATTTYGTTTTGAAGACAAAATTACATGTAATGCACATTCAAATACATGTATTGACTCCCAGGAGGGAGTGGGGTGGGGGTGTATGCCACTGGGATCTCAAAACCCTGACCCTGTTCTAGAGTAATGGGGAGCAAGGATGGCAGAGCAGTTAAAAAGCCGGTCTATCACCGCTGTGGTTCTGGTTCGATTCCCAGTCCGGTGCTATATGTGATATATGTGATATGAGTTTGTAAGCTGGTTCTCTCCCTTGTTCCGAGGGTTTTCGCCAGGTCCGCTGGTTTTCCTCCCTCAGTCAAAAACTAGCTGTGGGGAGTGTTGTGTAGTAAAATAATGAATGTTGAGGTAGTRAGAGTGAGTGAATATATATAGGGCCACATTAGTTTATTAGTCTAGAGGCTATTACGTGCTACCCTCTCAAAACAAAAGAGAGTTTAGTAAAATCGCTGAAAACTATACCCTTTTCCAGAGTAAAACCCTGCACTAGTCTGGGTGTTGAGCAAATATTTACCCCGTGAATTTTTACCCAGCATCAATAATTCTGGAATTAAACCCTGACCTTGTTCCGGTGAAAAATCGGTGAAATCAATACCCTGTTCCACAGTAAAATCGCTGAAAACGATACCCTGGTCCCTGGTCGCACATCCCATCCCCTCCCTTGCAGTTTTCCTAATCTAATTCAATGTGTGACAGCTCAAAAACAGCCTAGCTTTAGTACTGGTCTATGAGTGTCTTTTTGGCCAAGGTCTGAAGTGTGGAGGAAGGTTTAAGCAAGTCATAATGAGAAACAGGTCAAGTYTTAATGCTGCACTGGCAAGAATAAAGATCAAAGCTAAAGTCACAAATAATGCTGACCTCTTACCAAAGAATGTTCTAACTGCAGGTACAGTTACTGAATGAAATGTAAAGGCTGATTTACACGTAACGATTGTTGCGTACAACTTTTAGTATACAACTCAAATGAGCTTCAAACCGTGCCATGTAAATGCCCCTATGACTTGCCTACAGCAGTCGTGCGCAATCTACGACTTGTCGTAGAATTTTGAACCACAGCTTAAAATCCTTCGACTTATCGTAGGAAAATTGTACACTACACGTCGTATGTGACAATCTTGCCATGTAAATCCGCCTTAAAAAGTCTAYAATTATTTTCGTACAATTTTGGGTCAGTTTTAACTATTTCTGTAAGATTATCGTGTTGTAGGCCATTTTGACAATTCAATCCATGGATAGATTTTAAAAGGTTCTTTACAATACACAGCATCAATTCCAAGGTATGCCAGAGTTAATCTCTTGCAAGCTTCCATTGATGACATTCTGGAGCAATTCAGCAATGAGGGTTATGTTGTAAAAACATCCCCAGAAAACTTGGAAAAGGTAACTAGTAAATGTTGATGAAAAAGGTACAATTATATTACGATTTTGGAAACATTTCAGCTCATATCACATCTGCTCTGCTCTGCTCTGCTCTGCTCTGCTCTGCTCTGCTCTGCTCTGCTCTGATCTCATCTGCTCTGCTCTGCTCTGCTCTCCTCTGCTCTGCTCTGCTCTGCTCTGCTCTGCTCTGCTCTGCTCTGATCTGATCTGATCTGATCTGATCTGATCTGATCTGATCTCCTCTGCTCTGATCTCCTCTGATCTCCTCTGCATTTCCATAATTTGCAACTCTGCATCTAGCAATCTACTCTTCTGACAACTCTCTATGATTCCATCATTTCCTAGGGAGACAAGTCAGTGTATTTGGATCCTCACATCCAAGATGTGCTTGTATTTCCACCTGGTACAGACTTACATAACCATCCATTGTACAACAAAGGGCACATCATTCTTCAAGACAAGGTATACAAGATATGAATTTACCTGATTTCTTATTGATTTGAAAATGTGAACTTTCAAGTTGGTGGGGCACTGATCAGGGTTCTCAATAGAAGCTGACAGCTGGCGAAAATCGCCAGTTATAGCTTAGTTAATCGCTGGCTACTTACAAATTTATTCGCAAATTATCCTATTTTGACGGGTACTTTTCCTATTTTGACATCTGCTTTTATTTTTACTGAGAACCCTGACTGATACCAATGTGTTAGTGTTGTGGTGGCCATACTTTAGTGACTGCCTCGACTACTTTATCTGTCTATAACAATTGCCATCTATTACATAAAAACAAGTTTGACAGTTTGAAATGCTTCATCATTCAACAGTACACTCTCACTATTCAATCTTGTCTTTATGTAATAGATGTGTATGCAGTGTTGGGACGCATTCATCTTCAAGTGGCCTCTCTTGAGAAATTCGATGTCGTACATTTATATAACAGTAATACAGTACATGTAATGACTATTTCACTTTAATATTTGTTGTWATAGGCAAGCTGCCTGCCTGCTCACATCTTAAACCCACCTCCGGGCTCCCACGTTATTGATGCCTGTGCAGCWCCTGGTAACAAGACGAGCCATCTGGCATCTCGCATGAGCAACAATGGGTATTATTCTTTATCCTTTTTTTAGTTCAATACTTTGAAATTCTGCTGCATATTTTGTTTTGCCCACATGGTTGACAAATTTTAATCCTTGAATCTCCTTCACAGACAAGGATGGTCACGTACGCCATAAATTGTGAAGTACGAAAGTGCATTTGATTGTATTGATAAAGTGACTTGTTTTTCAGACACATTTTTGCATTTGATACTGATAACCAGAGACTTAAAGTAATGAGAAAGTTGATGCAGACTGCTGGTGTTRAATGTGCCTCAATGACAAATATGAGCTTTTTGAAGGTATTAATTTTGTATTTATAAAAAGTAGAACTACAGTGTTAGCCTTGTTTAGCAGCCAGCCCTGTGTCATCACGCAACGAGAAGCATGACAACACAGGTATGGCTGCAAAGGAGGCTACTAAATGTATGAACTAAAAAAATGTTGCAATGAAAATCCTCAGTTTACCATGAGTTAAAGCCCAAATTGAGCAGCTATATAAATCTTGAACAAACATCATCTACATTATCCCACACAATTGTGTTTAAAATCTATTTATTTATGTTTTATTTAATTTGATTCATTACGAATTGAATCTAGTCAATTTTTATTTCATTCTGTCTTTGTCAGGTTGATCCAACTGCAGAAGARTACAAGAAGGTCGAGTACATTGTAGTTGATCCTTCTTGTTCAGGTTCTGGTATTGTAAGTAGAATGGATCCTTGCACTGATCAGTCAGAGGTAAGCTGAGATACTCAGAATATACTGATACAATTTGTGAGCACAATATTCCTAATTGTGAGAAAAAAATGTTTTAAATCAATTCTGTTGTCTTTCTTTTCAAATTCCATGTGTTTTCTTGGGCTATCAATGAATCAAAAGAATATGTTGCTTGGTTTTGAGGATAACACAGAGCAAACCAAAACTCGAAATCAGAGTATTCTCTATGTCCAGTCTTAGGATTCCTATCTTTGATGAGGAGAATTAAGTGACAAAGGTTTAAATCCCCATTTCAAAAATTACAAAGGAATTCCGAAAGGTGCTTGAATTGCTTTCTGAGATWTGTTATCATTTCTTGATTTGCAGGCAGAAGAGCTAAAACAGAGGCTTGAATCTCTCTCTCAGTTTCAACTTTCTGCTGTTGTCCATGCTTTGTCGTTCCCAGCTGTCAAAAAAGTTGTATATTCAACATGTTCAATTCATCAAAAGGTACAAAGTATATAATCATTTAAATTAAAATGGCTTTATTAACACTTCGTATAACTGGCCCTTTGTGTTCACTCCTCATTTTGTTTTTTGATATAGGAAAATGAAGATGTTGTATTACAAGCACTGAAGAAGTTCAGTGGAGTGTTTGAATTATCACAAATCATGGATAACTGGACACAAAGAGGATTKCCTGTATTTCCTGGAGGTAATGCACTAATATAAACTAACATGTAAAGCGCTACCCATAACAGGCTCGAAAACTTTATTGATTTTGTCACTTGCTTATGAAAGTAACTCTAGTATTTGACTAATGGTATCATTTCAAATTATTTCAGCGGAAAAGTGTATCCGCGCTTCTCCAGAACTCACCAAGACCAATGGTTTCTTTGTCGCTTTGTTTACAAGAATTCAAGATAAAAGAAGTATAACAAAACTTGTGAATGTCACAGAAGAAAACTGTTCTTTGGACGACATAAACGATAAGCAACAAAAATGCTTTAAAGATGCTGATACACTTAAAAGAATGAGGGATAGGAGTACAAAGAAATCAAACAGAAAGAAGAGGAAAAAGAGCAATTTGTGTGATGGTACTCCAGGAGCAAAACAATCTGCGAAAGGCATAAATGATAAGCCACGAACAATCTTTGAAAATGCTTATAAAGTGAATAGTGGTATCGATAGTAAGAAACATAAGAGAAAGAAGAGTAAAAAGGACACTTTCTGTAATGACACTCCAAGAACGATTCAACCTTCAGACGGCATACAGAAACAGGCAAGCTTTGAAGATGCTAATGCGCTGAAGCGAAGAAGTGAAAGTAACTGGAAGAAACTAAAGAAAAAGAAAAGAAAAATGGTCGCTTGATATAATAACAATGCAGTAGCTAAACTTCGCTGAAAAACAGATAAGATATAAGCAAAAACCATCAAATTTTTGCTAATCATAGATTGTAGTAAAAAATACTGAAATAGGTATTACAGTAATACACTCAAGTACGCCATAATTGTAATGTTTTCTTTGTATTTGACTAATAGACTTTAAAAGTCCAATTTYGTTTCACGGGTTAAAGGACTTCCACCCTCTCCACCCAATATAACAGCGACATCAAGACWGTTTTCAAATGCTTTTATTGGATAATTTCATTGCTATTTTACACTGTTACCAAATTGACCTGGGAACTCAAAGTGTAAAAACTGTTTCAATAGCCATTTCGTACAGAGTGTACATCTATGTTTTGGGACAATTGTATTTTAAGTTACTTGAGTATTGTGAATCATGTCAGCCGAATCAGTAGTTTTACCTTAAAAACATAGACCTAAAAAAAAGAAAATAAGCGTTAGGTAAAATAATGTAGTATAATGCAATTTTAAGAAATTATACATATACATTTTTGAAGCATAGAGTCAACGCTGTAAAGCCGTGAAATTGGACAAATTCGTTAAACAAATTTTGCATGGAGTTGTGCATATACTAGAAKTGAAGCATTCGTTGAATGGGCACCAATTACTATAATGTAATGCCAAAGACATTTCACGGATTTAGAGCATTTCTCCTCAAGGAACAATCATTAAAATTTGACATTCACTAAGTGATCTTTAAAGAATTCTTACAGGGTCCGTGCAGGTCCTTAAAGACTTTGATCAAGGGCACATGAAACGCCTTGAAAATTAAAAAAAAAATTCGAAAAATTCCTTGAAAACTCCTTGAAAAAGATAGCTTTCTATCACTAGCTAGCGATCTCTGAATTATTCCGTTCAGCTGAAGTTGTGAGGTAAGAATGTACAATTAGCATGATTATGATGTTCCTTGACAATTTTTGTCCTTCAAAATTCCTTTAATTTCGTTTGATACACGGATCCTGTTCTWATTTTAAAATGCAATCTTTTTATATGACAATCACCTTATCAATAGTCAAGATCGTCTTCGTCGTCTTTGCGCATGTTTTTACGTCCCTTCTTTGGTYKTGGTCCATAACATTTCTTAGGTCCRTACATTCTGTGGAGGGCGATACCAACCTTTGTTCCTCGGCGAGTGAACGAGAGGAGACTGGCACCAGCTGCGCGAACGGCTGCGTCGTGATTATTCTTCTCYATACTCAGCCAAACCAGTTTAGAAATGAGGTCTATGAAAAATAGTTATAAATGTTATTATCGCTTCAGTTATTGCTGACAACCTCTTTCATTCCTATTCTCCGCATAAGCGCCTAGCGCAATACCACACGACAATATTGGAGTGTGACTTTGCCTGATGCCTGGTGGACAGCAGTTATTGCTGACAACCTCTTTCTTTTCTATAGCAAATTAAGCAATTGTCGCTAAAAAAAATCTATTAAAGAAAGATTAAATCTACCACGCGATTACAGCACTCAACTGTTGTTGTGTTACCTTGGTTTTTCGTGAATTAACACTGATGAGTTAAACATCAGCGATATTCAAGCTAAAAAGCGCATGACTCTTATTAGAGCATTTGTTACAATTACGTACCCATGTAAACTTGCGTTGAAACTTTGAAGACTTTAGCTCCTTGCATACCGGCTGCCCCGAACTAGAATGAAACACAAAATTATTCTAACAAATGTCGACATGAATTCAAGGCTGCCCCAAAAGCATTTCTGGGAAATATTTCCGAAATGGCGGTCATGTCAGGACTCCTGCATTGCATTGTATTGGTTTACTAAACTTTACTTTAGTAAAAGATCCAAAACTTACCACTTGAGCAGTCTGAACACCCAATTTAACGAATGGTGCTATAAACAAGACGAGAGAATCAGATTAGAATTCCAGTTAACTGAAGAATCATGAACTGCGCATGCTTACAATAATGCGATTCAAAGAAAATGACGCAACTGAGAAAGCAAAGCTATGTGGTTAAAACAACCGTGCAGATTGAATAAAACAACTTTGTTTACGTTCAAGAAAGTGGTCATATTTCGCTTAAAATATTATTATTATGTACAAGGATGAAAATATATAGATAGTGTTATGAAATTAAAAACGTTTTCGACTATGAGTCATCTTCAGTTGTGTCTGTTCAAGAAAGTATTACTAATGAATAAGCTCAATGTTATTATCCTTTTTTCTCATTGTTTCAAACTGAAGTAGTGACAATTGTTTTGAAAATGCTAATCTACAACATGAACTTACCATCCAAAAGACCGTCACTAACACGGAATTGGTTGAAGTTTTTCAGAATGAATTTGACCACCTCTACATGTTTGTCGGCATGTTTCTTGTATTCCCTCTTCAAGTTCTCGATTTGTTTCTTTTCGTTGTCAATATCGTTGAATAAACCTGGAAAAAAAGTAGAGCAAGTTGGTCTCAATCAGATTAACATGTACTCTTAATTTCAGGCAAATTATAAAGTCTTACTAAAATGAGGCCCTGAGACAAATGTAAAAAGAAAACGAGCGCTAGGCAATAAATTGATTTTGATGATCTTTACATGAAATGTAGTCCAATGAAGGCGTGCGGTTTTTTCGTGTGGAAAGTCCTCTAATTTCTATTTATTTCGGCGTTGGTTTAAAACATGCGACCGCCAAACAACTGACAATCACAGTTGACTTATCGTGAACAACTCTTGCTCAAAGAGAAGCGTAAATTCGGTTCCACAAATTACGTGKGAGAAAAGTTTTAGTTTACCTTTTTTCGTAGCATGAACGATGAACATGGCAAAACGACGTTGAATTGCGATGAAGTACTCTCCAGCGATGTGCTTTGCTTTTTCAATATCGTTGTTTTTAGTGGCTTCGTAGACTCTCTTTCCCATTTCTATACAAAAAAAAATCTAAGTGAAGGATTTACATCATCATTATTATCATCATCTCTGAAGCTAAGAACGAGTGGTTATGAACAAAAAACTTATTACGGACAAGTTGAAATAACTCTCTCTAACTCAATAGCTTTTCTGTCGTGAAAAATAAACTGTATTTAGTCATCGCTGTTTTCAAGAAAAGCTACAATCGTAATGCGGAGCACCCTGCCCCCTTTCCCCTGCCCCCTGCCCCCTGCCCCCTGCCCCCTTTGCTATTGTAGGCTAGTGAGTTAAGAGTTTATTATATAGCAGTTTTTGATATTATGATATTTACCTTCTTGGTCCTGTCTCATTAACTTTGCAATTTCCACAATTGGTTTTAATGCTTTAACAACCTATAAAAGATTTGGAATATYACTGTATAACAGATACAATGGCTTTGCGCATTCAGGCCATGGAATTAACCGTTGAAAAMACGTGGTTTCAAGTCACACACAAGCAAGAGCTKTACAACTCACCTCTTTTTTGACATCCAAAAGCTGAAAAATAACAAAATTTATACATTAATTCTTGTTGATTTTAAAGTGGCTTATTAAAGGACCATTTAATATAATTGCATGATAAACAGAATATTACATGGTCGCTTGGGGATAYGAATTTCATCTTCTCGTGTCGAAAATTTCTCATGATCACTCCTTACTTACGCTCACTCGTAAGAGATTTTTTCAACACTCGAAGATAAAATCCGTATCTCCGCTCGCCCATGTAATATTCTCCATATATACACAAAATCTTATAATATACTGATTATTAAACTGCACGTACGTACCCGCTCAACAAGTTCATTCAGTGGCTCCTTGTATTTGACTGTAAAACAAAAACGATGTCGTTGTTAGCGAAGAAGACTGATTTAAAAGGTGAATTCAGTGACAATGCATGATTACTAGCCAAACCCCTTTCAACCTTTCAGTGTTCAAAAATATGGACATTCAGATCATGATTCCAGCAAATAAAGTCAGATTCAAACAGAAATCTTCGAGAAAAAAAACCGCGGCAGCGTTCTTGTGAAGAATTGATATTTCCGCAGCCTAAAATCTGTCCATTGAGTAGTATTTCTTCTTTTGTCATCCAATTTTTAACATATTATCTGCAAATAATTTGACAAAGCTTATAAAATGATTTTATCATTCAACAACAAACTCAATACTCTTCAAACTATTAAACTGTATATGTTGCCCATCAAACCGAACGGAACAACAAAAAATTCTGTTTTCGCTTGTAAAGTACGTTGCAAAAAAAAATGAACTTCTTAAAAGTACCAGAACTAAGTTGCGCCAAACTGAAAATACTCCTATTGGACATCCAAAAATATTGACTTATAAGTAGATAATACTGGTAAAACTTACGGTCTGGATGTTCATCTGGTTTAACTCCCTGAACAGACTTGACAAATAAGAAATGCGCGAATTTTGCCCAGAAGTCCTTCACTGGTTTGTCAGTGGGGCTTCCGGTTGGTCTCCCAGTAGGTCTTGGTCCCTCGTCTGTTGGTTTGTCAGATGGCGATGGGCTTCCTGATGGCGATGGTCTTCCAGAAGGCGATGGTTTTCCAGAAGGCGATGGTTTTCCTGAAGGCGATGGTTTTCCTGATGGCGATGGGCTTCCAGAAGGCGATGGGCTTCCAGAAGGCGATGGTCTTCCAGAAGGCGATGGTTTTCCTGATGGCGATGGTCTTCCTGATGGCGATGGGCTTCCAGAAGGCGATGGGCTTCCAGAAGGCGATGGTTTTCCTGATGGCGATGGGCTTCCAGATGGCGATGGGCTTCCTGATGGCGATGGACTTGCCGATGGCGAAGGCCCTTCTGATGAAGAGTGCCCTGAAGGCGATGGTTTTCCTGATGGCGATGGGCTTCCAGATGGCGATGGGCTTCCTGATGGCGATGGACTTGCCGATGGCGAAGGCCCTTCTGATGAAGAGTGCCCTGCTGATGGCGATGGACTTGCTGATGGGGCATCATCCCAACTCTCTTCATCTAACTCAGGCAAATCGTCTGACAAAAACAATAAATATATTACATATATAATTACAAAATTAAAATTCCYGTAATAGACAAAAGAAAAATGAAGATAGCTGTAGTCACAAAAGATCAACAATAAGCCCCAGTAGAGAGAGAGAAGAGACTCGTGCTGACATTGACATTGGAAAAGGCCCGATAGCATACTGCAAAATTAGTATTGAACAGTGTACGTTGTATAAAATCTAAAACTTAATTAAACACACACTAGCGTAAGAGACTGAACTGATGTTCTGATTTGTTCAACTTTTAAAGACGTTCACATACTTCCCATCTAGGCTATTCAGCACTAAATAAGTTTCGCAAAAAAAGTTTCTCCAAGAACAGATTTGCAATATCACTTGTAAAAACACTGTGCCCCCCCCCCCCCCCCCGCGCTAAATAAAACACTCCGACGTCACTGGCTCAGAACAGATTAAATGTAATAGAGTGACATAAAAAAATCATGAAAAAGATATTACACATTAACAAGTTTTAATTGCATCGTTTTCTTTTGTGTCCATTTGACTATCACTATTTGAGGTTTCTAAATCTAACTTTTTCAACAATCAATTTTGAGCACGAAGATTAAATTCGTTATACCTCCRAGCGATTATGTTATATTGATTATATTAAAGCCGAAAAATGTGGTAAATACCTCTTTTTTTACTTGCAACATAAGWAAACTCAAGTGTGGTGAAACTTTTCGAAAGAGAAATATCAGGATTGTGTGATAAATATAGGTGCGGCAAACTCACATGATAAGAAATATTATTACTTAAAGATAAATGCGTTTTTTACCATATTCATTGTCATCCTGAAATTCGTAGGGTTTTGCAGCAGCAAGTCCTAAAATCAAGATGAGAAAATACACAGCTTTCATCTCGAGTCGTGCAGAAGTCAACATGAACACATGAACTGGTAGAAGTCGAATGAATAACTCAAAATTGTTGGTTCATATTAATGCCACTAGAGTRTAAAATAWACTAACAAAGAGAAACCATTGGAGTCCAATTCACACAGCGTTTCTGAATGGTCTGTTCATGAACTGTTTCAAATGTGAACAATCAACAGCATTTTTGATATAATACGTCGACGCATGCCGTACATTCCAAAAAAAAAAAATCAAGAAGCATTAGTTCAGTCCCACGCAAAATCAGATTTGAAACTGGCGGTGTAGCCCTGACAAGGTGCAGAAGATTTGTGCAAATTAAACAATTATTCGTCGTGATTTTCCTATTAATCCTGCATGGTGAATTTTGTTTTTGTTTTGTTTTGTTTTTTTTTTTTTACAAACCGCCATCATATCCAAACAAACGTTGCAGGGTCTCGTTGCAGGCGATATTGTAATATATCCAATTTGAATGATCATTTTTTAATGAAACTATTTGTGAAAATATATTTTTAATAAAAACCGAAATATATTAGTATGCTCATGCCGGCAGTCGAAAGCAAGAATTTTCCGAAAATTCTATCCAAAMGTTTGAGTTTTAAAACCGTTTGGCCTAAAAGCAGCGTTTTTTTCTATATCCAGTGCTTGTTTGGCGTTGGGTAAAAACATGAAGTGCGTGGYGGGAACCTTAAAAAGGTTTTGTCTTTRTACTTGGTTGATTGTCAAGGTCATCGCATCCTAAATCTAGACGAAAGMTTAGCAGCATGTAGACAAGATACCGTTGTTGTTTTGTTAACGGTCTGTCGCACAAACTTAATAAAACTTCAGCCGGTATTTTACATTTGTGAGAGTACTTTACCTAAAAAATAACCTTGCCAATAAATYAATCAGACTTTAGCCGTAAGAGCTAAGCCTATAACAGCGCCCCTCGAAAAACCCCTCGAAATGCCATAGGGCTGGTGTTTAATATTTGCTGAATAATAGCAACAATCAACAAATAATATTGGAATAATAAGCCTTTTCAACACAAAATATAAAAAGTGTGGCTAATTACCAGTCATTATGAATAGTTTCTCTTGTAAAACACTGGATAGTTAGCGCACTCGACGTACTTCGATTCTTTTAATTATTTATAATAATTTTGCATTGATTCGGTCGTGGAATATGTGGTTGACAACTTTCATGTAACTTTGTTCCCTGCAGGGATTCACAGCTTGAACATAAATAGAAAATTAAAATTTTCTATTTCGCTTTTTATCGAAAATATATTTTCAGAAATAATTTTCTTAAAAAATGAGCATTCAAAATTTATATATAATACAATATTGCCTACAACGTTAGTTTTATTTGGAGTGATAACGGTTTGCAAGGCATCAGCCGAAGTTTAATTTTTCCATAGTTAACTRTGATTTTTCGTTCGACACACATACACAAATCGATTTTTTTTARATACCTATTAATTATCTGCGTGTTAAATGCAAAAGCCCAAAATCAAGTTTCAAACCCATTTTGTTTTAAACAGTGAAAAGCGGGGGTGACTACCAGGGAGACTAGCACAAATCGTGGGAAAACGTTGTTCGCTGCATGAAAAATAATACATACAAAGAAGTTGTTTTGATTATATCCATATCAATGAATCAACTATGCTTCTAGATTGTTTTAGTTTTAAAATACAGAGTCATGAATCATAAAGTCTGTCCGCATGTGTAGTGAATGCGATGCAAGGAAATGTTGAAAGACTTRATTTTTCCTTGTGAATCGAAATCAACCCAAAATGCCTTAACTGCAATGAATTGGGTCTTAATACGTCAAAAATTGGTTGGTAATTTTCCCTAAAGAATATGAAAGCGTGCTGTCTGTTTTGTAACTCCAAAGGAATGTACGACGTCGTGCGTCGGTGTATTCTATTGGTAAATTCATTGGGTGACGAGTGAATTCMGCRTTGAATATATATTACACGTGTCAAGAAATGGATGGAAGTGATTCCCGGGTGCTAGCGTCAAGATTTTGTTAGCGACCAATCCCAACTACCACCAGAAGCTTGACATGACTGACATAAACTATCATTTTGTAGGTTGGTCCTTCAGTTTGATGTTGACAACTGGTATGACTATSTGGCAACTGGATTGAAGWCTTTTAATCTAATCAAAGGCCCAGTTTGCACCATTATGCTTTGCACGCCTTGGTTATTGTTATGATTTACACCAAAATACTTCTAGTA